TGTATGCATGTGTTGTGTTACATGTTGTATGCATGTGTTGTGTTGTTATGTGTTGTATGCATGTGTTGTGTTGTTGTATGGTGTATATATGTGTTATGTGTTGTATGCATGTGTTGTATTGTTATGTATTATATGCATGTGTTATGTTGTTATGTGCTGTATGCATGTGTTGTGTTGTTGTGTGTTGTATGCACATGTTGTGTTGTGTGTTGTATGCATGTGTTGTGTTGCTATGTGTTGTATGCATGTGTCGTGTTGTTGTGTGGTGTATACATGTGTTACGTATTATATGCATGTGTTGTGTTGTTAAGTGTTGTATGCATGTGTTGTGTTGTGTGGTATATACATGTGTTATGTGTTGTATGCATGGGTTGTGTTGTTATGTGTTGTATGCATGTGTTGTGTTGTTGTGTGGTATATACATGTGTTATGTGTTGTATGCATGTGTTATGTTGTTATGTGCTGTATGTATGTGTTGTTATGTGTTGTATGCATGTGTTGTTATGCTGAGTGCATGGGTGCTGGGAATTTGAGCTCATGAATCAAGCAGTTTACAGACTAAGCTTTCGTCCCAGCCCTGTTACTCATAGTTTTTGTAACTGTATTACTTTTTTAGATTAATTTTTAATTTTATTTTTCAGAGTTAATCTTTTTCCTCTTATAAAAACCTTTATGTGGTAGCCACAGCTGGAGCCGGGATCCCCTGAGTGGAGACTCTGGTGTGGGTTTTCACAAGATGATCAGTGAATTCCTGATAAGGAGGCTTGGTGAACACAGTCTCTTTCCAGAGGTAGGTAGCTGTAGGTCTTGGAGATGGCATCAAAGATGGCCTTGGCAAAGTTGCCCAGGGTGGCAGTGCAGCCCTGGCTGATGTGTAGCTGTCATCTTTACTGGCCATCATCAGTAGCTTCTTGGGCATAGGAGCAGAGACACTCATAAACATAATTAAAAATAAACAATAGTTGCTTCTTGTTCTTCTTGTTCTTCTTCCTCTTCCTGTTCTTCTTCTTGTTCTCCTCCTCCTTCCGATTCAGGAAAACACCCCTAGTGCCTCTGGGGGCAGGAATGAGAGGCACCAACACTGAGCCACAATGGCCTGTCACTTTGCATGGAGCAGTGTGGAACTTGCCAACCTTGTTTCCCCAATAGCTTCTCTGCATAGGGACGATGATGTCTGAGATGATGGCCCCTCGATGACAGTGGCTACCTCTTTGGAGCACATAACACCAAGACCAACATGACCATCCTTGAGGGATGCACCCAGGAAAAAGTCAGTAATCTCAGATTCCTTAATGGGCAGGGAGATTTCCTCCAGGGACTTGATCTTCATGTCCTTCACTAGGCGGCCCAGCTTGGTGATGGGGATCCACTCCTTGTTTTTGGTTTTACCTCAATGAGCCCCATGGCCTTGATCATGGCTACAGCCTTGACCGTTACCACAGCTCCTAAAAGTGATGCTGTATCCTCCATGAAAGCCACTGAGGCCCCCTAATCCTGGGCCCCCAGGTCCTCAAGACATTTCTACTGCACCATTCCAGCTGCTATTTGGTGTTTCCTGAAGAAGAAGTAACTTTTTAAAAAATTATATGTATGTGTGTCTAGGTAGGAGTAGTCACACATGGTGGTGCACAGAAGCCAGAGAACGGCATTGACACCTCCCCCCCCCACACACCCTGGGATTGGAGTTACAGGCTGCACAACATGGCTGCTGGGAACCGGACTCTGTTCCTCTGAAAGAGCAGTCTGTACTTTTCATCATGAAGTCGTATCTCCTGCATTTCTATTTCTATTTCTACCCATAGATGATTCTAAAGCAGCTCAAATATTGCTTTTGGGGGGTTCAAAAGCTCTCTGAAGTGAGTGACTTTGACATACAGAATCTGTAAGTTAAGATGGGCCCTGCCAATCTGAATTAACCTCAGACTATTTTCTTATTCCAGGCTTCATGTTCCTTGAGCACCACCGGGTGATTTTTCAAGCTTTTCTCAGGACTGTCTTTCTAGCTCCTGAGTGAGTCCCCGTTGCTTTTCAATTGGCTTCCTGTAGCCGGCCAGCTCCTGATCTAGTTACCCTTTTCCTTACAGATTTGTAGACTTCCACGCAGCTGCTTCTACCTGCTCCCCCTCCCGAGCCTCTCTGCTTACTGGACGGCTGGGTCTACGGAATGGAGTCACGCACAACTTTGCAGTCACTTCTGTAGGGGGGCTCCCACTCAACGAGACCACTTTGGCAGAGGTTCTGCGACAGGCTGGTTACGTCACTGCCATGATAGGTAATGTGCCCTGGGGAGCTGCTTCCAGGTCTCGGAGTATCTCAATGGCTTCTGCCTCTTCTGCTCACATCTGTGGTTTTTTTGTGGGTTTCTTGCTGGGCGTGGTAGTAATGCTCTCAGCTAGCTTTAAAGTAACTGGAAAGACCTGACTGACTCTGGCCCCAGAAACACTTGTAGTTCTTTTGTCCCATGATAATAAGCTTTGTGATAAGTGATTGTGTCCACTGAGTCAGATTATCCCAAAGATACCTCTGGGAACTTTTCCAGACTCTCTTCTGCTGTTGAGAACATGCTGGCTTCTGTTCTTGTGCTTGCGGCTGCAATGTCTCATTTTCAGGGTCCTCCGTTATAGTTAGGTTCAAGGAGGGAGAAGAGAGTAGGTGGCAGGCTCATGGACCCGCCCACTTCTACCAAGAAACAGAATCTCTTGTTTAAGATAAGTATCCTTCCTTCCCAAGAACTGGGCTTATATCTTACTGCCCAGAGATGGGTGGCCTGGCTCCTGGGTTGCAAAGAAGGCTGGGAAACTTGGGACCAGGTTGTAATCATTGACATGGCCTTGGGTGTGGTCATCTTGAACAAACTGACCATCTAGGCTAGGAGTGCATCAGGGATGGAACACCTACCTAGAATCCACAGCGCACTGGGTGCCATCTCTATGGACAAGTGACCACAACCCTGTCCCTACCCCACCATAAATGAGGGCATGGATATAGGATAGGAAGGCAGAAGTTCATCTCCTATTGCTCAACCGATTCTTTTCCTTCCTTCCTCCTTCCCTCCCTCCCTTCCTTCCTTTCTTCTGTTTTTTTTTCTTTTTTTTTAGATAGAGTCTCACGTGTTCCAAGATGGCCTCAAACTCATTATAGAGCTTTGAATGAATGACAGTGAACTTCTGATCCTCCTGCTTCCACCTCTCAGGTGCTGGAATTTTAGGTATGTGCCACCATGCCTGGCTTTATGTGGTCCTGAGCACGGAACCCAGGGCTTCACGTGTGCTAGGCAAGCACTGTACCAACTGCATCCCTAACCTTCTTTGTTTTTGAAACAGGGTCTTAATATGTAGCCCAGGCTAACCCCAAACATACAGTCCTGTTTGCAGCCTTAGAGTGCTGGGATTTCAGGCTTCTTTTGCATGTATATATTTTTAAGGTACCTCTTACTCAGCAAGCATCATGTTATAGTCACAAGGATGCATTCATTTACACAGGATCATTCTCTTATTGTAGAGCAAGAGAACTATGTCTAGCTAGAGCTGTGTCTACCTGGCTAGAACAGGTAGAGTCTGTACAGGATCTGACCCCAGCCTTCTCGAGACGCTGGGGCCTCACTGCCTTTCTTGTAGACTCTGAGACAACCCAGCAGTTCCTACAGCCTCCCCAGCTTAGTTACTTACAAAGAGCTCATTCCAGTGGGATTCCTGCATCTCTCTACCATAGCAAAATGGCAAGGGAGGACTTGTGACAGCAAGGGTCCCTGTGGAAGAGACACTGGTCTCTCGAGCCTTCCGTGTTAGCTTGGAGGATGTTGCTTTACTCAGACCATAAGGCTGGCATCTCTGGTGTTTCCATCCCAATACCGGGTGACATTCATTGTCTCAGAAGGAGAAGCCCCAGACACTGGAAAGAAGCGACCAATTAGGTGTGATTCTTCTTTCCCTCTAACTCCCAGTGCTGGCTAGTTTTACATTTAACTTGACACAAGCTGAAGTCAGCTGAAGGGAGGGAAACTCAGTTAAGAAAATGCCTCTGTAAGCTCCAGCTCTAAGGCATCTTCTTAATCAGCAATTGATGGAGGAAGGCCCAGCCCATGGTGGGTGGTGCCACTCCAGGGTTGATGGTTCTGAAAGCAGGGTGAGCCAGCCAGGAGGAGCAAGCTAATAAGCAGGACGTCTCCATGGCCTCTGCATCAGCTCCTGCCTCCAGGTTCCTGCCCAGTTTAAGCTCCTGTCCGGATTTCCTTAACTGATGAACAGTGATGTGGAAGTCTAAGCCAAATATACCCTTTCCTCCAAAAGTCGCTTTTGGTAACGGTATTTTATCATAGCAATAGTAACCCTAACTAAGATAATCACTCCTTTCCCCCCATACCCTGAAGTATAATTATGCCGACAACATCAGTTCCCAGAGGACACATGAAGCTCCCCTTGGGGGTTGCCAGTTAGATAGACCTATAAGATACATCTGTTCATCCCTGGAGTTAGGAACCTTATACAAGGCAGGGGTCTGGGCTTCTCTTCATCTGCTTTGATATTATGTTTTTTTTTCATTCATTTTTTTTGAGAGGAAAGAGTTTATTTCATCTAATATCTTACAGTACATTATGAATGGTAGTTAGGACAGGAAATCAAACATGAACTTGGAGGCAGGCACTGAAGAAGAAGTCATGAAGGAATAGAATTACTATCTTGTGCAGACTGATTTCTTATTCCAGCTGTTCAAGGATGACACTTTACAATAGTAAATCATCAGTCAAGAAAATACTTAGTGACCTTTGCCTACTAGACAATCTGATGAGACATTTTCTCAGCTGAAGTTTCCTTTTTCAGTTTGACTCCTGTTAGACTGTATTTGATAAAAAAAAAAACAAAACAAAGAAAGAACAAAAGAAAGAAAGGAAGAAAGAAAGGAAGGAAAGAAGAAAGGAAAGAAAGAATGAATGAAAGAGAAAGAAAGAAGAAAAGAAAGAAAGAAAGAAAGAAAGAAAGAAAGGAAGGAAGGAAGGAAGGAAGGAAGGAAGGAAGGAAGGAAGGAAGGAAGATCAAAGAACCAGCTCCTGGTTTTGTTGATTCTTTATATAGTTCTTTTTGTTTCTACTTGGTTGATTTCAGCCCTGAGTGTGATTATTTCCTGCCATCTACTCCTCTTGGGTGCATTTGCTTCTTTTTGTTTTAGAGCTTTCAGGTATGCTGTTAAGCTGACAGTGTATGCTCTCTCCAGTTTTTTGTTTTTTTGTTTTTTGTTTGTTTGTTTGTTTTTTTGGTTTTTTTGGAGGCACTTAGAGCTATGAGTTTTCCTTTTAGCACTGCTTTCATTGTGTCCCATAAGTTTGGGTATGTTGTGCCTTCTTCATTTTCATTAAATTTTAAAAGGTCTTTAATTTATTTCTTCCTTCCTTCCTTCCTTCCTTCCTTCCTTCCTTCCTTCCTTCCTTCCTTCCTTTCTTTCTTTCTTTCTTTCTTTCTTTCTTTCTTTCTTCCTTTCTCTCTTTCTTTCTTCCTTGACCAGGTTATCATTGAATAGTGTGTTGTTCAGCTTCCATGTGTGTGTGGGCTTTCTGTTGTTTTTGTTGTTATTGAAGACCAGCCTTAGACCATGGTGATCTGATAGGATGCATAGGATTATTTCAATCTTCTTGTATCTGTTGAGGCTGGTTTTGTGACCAATTATATGGTCAATTTTGGAGAAGGTACCATGAGGTGCTGAGAAGGTATATTCTTTTGTTTTAGGATGAAATGTTTTATAGATATCTGTTAAATCAATTCGGTCCATCACTTCTGTTAGTTTTACTGTATCTCTGTTTAATTTCTGTTTCCATGATCTGTTCATTGATGAGAATGGGGTGTTGAAGTCCCCCACTATTATTGTATGTGGTGCAATGTGTGTTTTGAACTTTAGTAAAGTTTCTTTTATGTATGTAGGTGCCCTTGCATTTGGAGAAAAGATGTTCAGAATTGAGAATTCTTCTTGGTAGATTTTTCCTTTGGTGAGTATGAAGTGTCCTTCCTTATCTTTTTTTGATAACTTTTGGTTGAGAGTCTATTTTATTCACTATAAAAATGGCCACTCCAGCTTGTTTCTCGGGACAATTTGCTAGAACATTATTTTTCCAGCCCGTTTACTCTGAGGTAGTGTCTGTCTTTGTCACTGAGGTGTGTTTCCTGTATGCAGCAAAATACTGGGTCCTGTTTATGTATCCAGTCTGTTAGTCTATGTCTTTTTATTGGGGAATTGAGTCCATTGATGTTAAGAGATATTAAGGAGTAGTGATTGTTGCTTCCTGTTATTTTTGTTGTTAGAGGTGGAATTATGTTTTTGTGGCTATCTTCTTATAGGTTTGTTGAAAGAAGATTACTTTCTTGCTTTTCCTAAGGTGTGGTTTCCCTCCTTGTGTTGGAGTTTTCTATCTATTATCCTTTGTAGGGCTGGACTTGTGGAAAGATATTGTGTAAATTTTGTTTTGTCATGGAATATCTTGGTTTTTCCATCTATGGTAATTGAGAGTTTTGCTGGGTATAGTAGCCTGGGCTGGCATTTGTGTTCTCTTAGGGTCTGTATGACATATGCCCAGGATCATCTAGCTTTCATAGTTTCTGGTGAGAAGTCTGGTGTAATTCTGATAGGTCTGCCTTTATATGATACTTGACCTTTTTCCCCTTACTGCTTTTAATATTCTTTCTTTGTTTTGTGTATTTGGTGTTTTGACTATTATGTGACAGGAGGAATTTCTTTTCTGGTCCCGTCTATTTGGAGTTCTATAGGCTTCTTGTATGTTCATGAGAATTTCTTTCTTTAGGTTAGGGAAGTTTTCTTCTATAATTTTGTTGAAGATATTTACTGGCCCTTTAAGTTGGGAATCTTCACTCTCATCTATACCTATTATTCTTAGGTTTGGTCTTCTTATTGTGTCCTGGATTTCCTGGATGTTTTGGGTTAGAAACTTTTTGCATTTTCTTTTACTGTTGTGTCAATGTTTTCTATAGTATCTTCTGTACCTGAGATTCTCTTGTCTATCTCTTGTATTCTGTTGATGATGCTTGCATCTATGACTTCTGATCTCTTTTAGGTTTTCTATCTCCAGGGTTGTCTCCCTTTGTGATTTCTTTATTGATTCTATTTCCATTTTTAGATCTTGGATAGTTTTGTTCAATTCCTTCACCTGTTTGGTTATATTTTTCTGTAATTCTTTAAGGGAATTTTGTGTTTCTTCTTTAAGGGCTTCTACTTGTTTACCTGTGTCCTCCTGTATTTCTTTAAGGGAGTTATTTATGTCTTTCTTAAAGTCCTCTATCATCATCATCATGAGATGTGACTTTAAATCAGAGTCTTGCTTTTCTGGTGTGTTGGGGTATCCAGGACTCCCTGTGGTGGAAGACCTGGGTTCTGATGATGCCAAGTAGCCTTGGCTTCTGTTGCTTATGTTCTTGCCCTTGCCTCTCGCCACCTGGTTATCTTTGGTGTTAGCTGGTCTTGCTGTCTCTGACTGTGGCTTGTCCCTCCTGCTAGCCTGTGTGTCAATACTCCTGGAAAACCAGTTCTTTCCAGGAGGAATTTGGGTATGGAGAGCTGTGACACAGGACCAGGTCTGGGGTATAAATGGGAACCGAAAGGATCCTGTCCCTGACTTTTCCTTGGTTCCTGTGTCCTGATGACTCTGGGCTAGTACCTCTTGGGCCAGGAATTTGAGCATAAGTGGTGGTGTTACCTGTGCTCACAGGTTTGCCAGCACTCCTGGGAGACCAGCTCTCCCATGGCAGTAGTTGGGTATGGAGCACTGTGTCACTAGGATCAGCTCCAGGCACTGTGATTTCCCTCAATTGTTTTTTTTTTGTTTGTTTTGTTTTGTTTTGTTTTTGATTGTTTTGTTTTTGAGGCAGAGTCTCACAATGATGCAATCCTGACTGGCCTTGAACTCACTACATAGACCAGGCTGACCTGAACTTATAGAGATCCATCCCTCTGTCTCCTCCTGAGTGCTTATTTCTTTAAAACTTGCTTTTCAGATCCACAGACTAAAGCTGGGCATGGTGGTACATGGCCATAAGTCTAGCTCTCAGGAGGTTAATAAAGGAGGTCTTGAATCTGGGGCCAGCCTGAGCTACATAGTAAAACCTTTTCTTAAATGAAACAGCTTGCAGTTGCAAGAAGGGGACAATGATTTCTGTACTGAAGTGAATCTAGGTTCACTAATTTACTTTTTTTGCTCTGTGTGCTTTTTTAAAAGGTAGTTTCTTGTATTTTTATTAAGGCCATATCAAACAGTTTACTTAGTCACACCCTGTATCTGCTTGCCAGCATCCCTCCTTTAGTTAGAGGTACCACGGTCAGATCTTTGGATTGATGATGTATCGCTGGCTCCCTTGCCTTGGCAGCAGTTTCCTGGGATCCGGTCCTCAGAGCAAACGATCAGATCAGAGGTTCTCACGTTGTCAGAGCTCTGCCCCGCATCACCCAATTATCCACCCAGAACGAAGGCATTGGCGGAGCAGGATCTGCAGGTGGCTGAGTTTCTCATTTGCTGCTCTGCAGGTGTCTCAGTGTGGGAGTTACTGGGGAAGCGTCCTCTCCCCATCTCTGCAAACTACTGACAACATTACCCAGAGAGGAAGATGCTGAGACCAGGCATTTCTGAGACCATGCAGGGTGGGGACCTGCACCCATCCTCATCTCTGCAGGACCGTAACAGAGGCTCGGCTGGGCAGCGTCCCTGAGCTGCTGGGAAGAGGGGCCATTCCCAGCTATCTTTCCCGTGTGGTCCTGAGTCATACAGTCCTTGCTTGTCTTCTGTCTCCCTGTAGGTTTCCTTGGGGTCCCAGAGAGCAGAGCTCGGCAAGCACAGGGCCTTGGCAGCTTCCCTTTGTCTTCACAGAAGGGTGGAGCTAATGGGAACTGACTGTGTGATCCGCTTCTCTGAGGGTTTATATGCTCCCACAGGGACCCCTCTAAATGCCCCTCTCTCTCTTTTTCCACAGGCAAGTGGCATCTTGGGCATCATGGCGCTTATCACCCCAATTTCCGTGGTAAGAAAGAATTCTTTTGGAGTTTGTTCCCTAGGAAACAGAAAATAAGGATCTCTGTGTTAAAGAAGGCTACGCATTTGAAACCATTGTAGCCCTGGGATAGTCTACGTTAGGACATCTTTACTTCCAAAGTCAATTAGGTACATGTGGGATACCAGTGTCCCCATCCTCACATCTCTCTTTCTAGAACCTTCCCTGGTCCCCTACTTGCTGCCTGTCAGCCTGAAGACTAGTCCACTGTGGGTCTGTCTTAGTTAGGATTTTATTGCTGTAAAGAGACGCCATGACCGTGGCAACACTTATAAGGACAACATTCATTGGGGCTGGCTTACTGTTTCAGAGGTTCAGTCCATTATCATCATGGCAGGAAGCATGGCTGAGTGAGTGCAGGCAGACTTGATGCTGGAGAAGGAGCTGAGAGTTCTATATCTTCATCCAGAGGCAGCAGGAGACTGTGTACCACACTGGAGTAGCTTGAGCATAGGAGACCTTAAAGCCCGCTCCACACATGCCATGACACGATTCCTCCAGGAAGGCCATACCTCCTCAAAGTGCCTATGGACCTCTGGAGACCAATTCAAACCACCACAGGATGTCCATTTCCTTCCATCTTCCAGTTCTTGGTACCTCAGGGAACATTCTACGAAGTCCCGAAGGCACGGGTAGAGAGAAGTGAGAACCTGTGTTGTGGACCTAGAGAGAGGCAACTGTCTCCTGGCCGCCTCCTGCAGCCTTGGAGAAGAAGACCAAGACCAGGCTGTCAAAGTGATGTTCTCAAAGTAATCACTCAGAGTTCGCCCTCTCTGAATGTCAGATTTGCTAAAAGACGAGTCTTTTTTTTTTTTTTTTTTACAACTTGTGGTTTGTGCCTCTGCCCCTTCCCTGACCCTTATGGGAGCCCACACTCTGTCCCTTAGAGGCTGTTTGCCGTGTCAGCAAATGCAGCCCTTGGTCCTACAGACACCCGTCTGTCTTCTCTTGCCACTTTATACACAAATAGGTGGCCTTTCCCTTTAGTGTGATTCTCTGACTATTCTGCAGGCTTCTCTGTCACCTTTCCCCAGTATCTGTAACCATGGCACAGGCCTGCATTGTGCCTCAAGAATCCCTTTAGAGGAACACAGAGGGTAGAAGGTGAAACTGTGCCATTTAAAAAAGGCCAGGGGAGGACCTGAACACCAAACCTGTCCACCACCAACACCACCAACACCACCGCTGCCGCCACCGCCACCACCACCACCAACAACAAATCTCTCCAGAACGTGTGTTCCTGTCTCAGCCTTCAGGCCTCGCTTCACATATGAGGGACTGGATTAAATCTGTTGATGGCATTTTGATTGATGTTCCTGGAGTCCCTGGGTTGAGAGGCATACTGAGACTGAGCCCTGCTTAGAAGAGGGTCCAGGATGGTTTGTGAGTCTGACCCAGGACTGGGAAGTAGGAAAAAAGATCTACATATTTGCTACCTTTGCCCCAGATAGTGCTGGAAACCTTCTTGCTTGGACACTATGGGGTTTCTTGGCTTCCGCTTTCTGTCATCTCCTGTGCTTTGTACTCTGCCCATGTACACTATCTGGGTTCCCATGAACCCGTCTTCCTTACAAACCCAGCATAGAGCACGTCAAACAATCACAGATTCCTCATATGCATCTACACTCACCTGCTACTTCTGGTTATTTCAGAGACCAGGGCTGAGACCGGTAAACACTGAGACTTCTCACAAGCTCTGGGTCTGAGAATAGCTGATGTCTAAACTAGGAGTCAGCATACAGCATGGGCCAAATCCTACATGCTAAGAGTTTCTGTAAATACAGTTTTTTTATTGGAGAACAACCATGTTCATCTTGGCAATAAAATCGGAAATATTTACTCATCTTGACAATAGGTGAAGTCACAATTCAGGGCTCTCTCATTTACCTGTGAGGCATTCAGATCTGTTTGTACAAACAAAGTTGGCATGGAGCGATCAGGTTTTCTTCAGTACTGGTAACATTTACCAGCCATTCTATACTGGTCTGGTTGCCTTTCTGCTGTTGCAGAATACACCATGGCCATAAGGAACTTAAAGAGAAAAGAGTTTATTTGGCTTATACTTCCAGATCATAGTTCAAACATTGAAGGAAGTCAGAGTAGGAATTTGAAACAGAAACTATAGACGAATTCTGCTTGCTGGCTCTCTCGCAGACCTACTTTTAGCTAGCTTTCTTATATAGTCCGGGACTACCTGCCTAGGGAATGGTGCTGCCCACAGTGGGCTGAGTCTTTCTACATCAATGAAGAAACAAGACAGCTGCCCACGGACGTGCACAAGCTAATCTGATCTGAGAAATTCCTTAATTGAAACCTCCCCCTTTCAGGCCACTCTAAGCCTCAAGTTGACAGTTAAAGCTCACTGGGACATACAGCGCCTACTGGTGAGTGGGAGCTAATGTTCCAACTTAAGGAATGCAGTGCTGAAAGAGAAGGTCTTGTCATTTATGCTGACAGAGAATCTGAAGAACAGATTCATCTTTACCTGCTGAGCCGTCTCACTGGCCCCATAAAGCTTCTTTGAAGGCAGAATTTTGGTTCCTTAAACTGTCATGTAGGCAGTGGATTTATTTCGTCTCATCAGGTACTTCCCAAGGAGTGGGGCATTTTATAGGAAACCGCATTAGGACTGTGCTTAGCAGTATCTATGCAGTTTCATTGGTGAGACAGAGAAAGCAATTCCGAGCAAGGCCACTGGGGTTGCAGGGTATGAGTCTCACGAGTAACGGGAGGCAGCTGGTTTAGGATTGGAAGTGTGCAGATAAAGGAGGCAAGGGGCAGATGCAGGGGCTGAAGAGGTAACCTTCCTTGCTGCTTGCTGGGCCCAGTTAAGAACTTGAGTTGTGGAAGAGCAGGCTGAGGGGGACTGCCAGAAAGGGATTTGGATCCCAGCGCTCACATTCTTCCTTCCTTCTGTTCCACCTCCCAAACCCAAATCCCCTCAGTGCTTAGAGCCCACTGCATCTGGGAACAACTTCCTCCTCTGATCTCCTGTCTCCGTTATGCTGGGATTGTAGGCTTACAGCGTCATGCCTGGCTCATCCACTTCTCTTGGCTTAACATACCTTACTTTCTTTGTTAAAAAATGATATATGTACTTTAATTTTGTGTGTAGACACACACACACACACGCTCACACACATTGTGCTGTGGGATGCATATGGAGGTCAGAGGAAAACTTTTGGGGCTCATTCCTTCCAACACAGAGTTCTGGAGATTGAGCTCAAATCATTAGTCTTTTGGGGAAGCACCGTTCGCTGCTGAGCCGTCTCACTGGTCCCATAAAGAAAGCTTCTTCGAAGGCAGAATTTTGGTTCCTTAAACTGTCATGTAGGCAGTGGATTTATTTCGTCTCATCGGATACTTCCCACATGTATTCATAACTTCGTGGAGGATGCGAGATGGTCAGAAACCCTTGATACTTCCTCCTGTTCTAGGTTAACTCCCACCACGAAGCATTGCACAAAGCTAGTCCTACGGGCAGGGCCCAGCAATGTGATTTTCTTTGCATACTTCAAAGGGATATTAATCAAATCCTCTTTTAATTACACACTCTGGAGTACCACAATATTAAATCACAGGAAATTAAATTTTCATCATGAGCGTGAGAGGGCAGGCATGCTGAGCAGTGGTGAGTGGGGGTGCTAACCGATGGCCTGTCTTCTAGGCTTCGATTACTACTTTGGAATCCCATACAGCAATGATATGGGCTGTACCGACTCCCCGGGCTTCAACTACCCACCTTGTCCAGCATGTCCGCAGAGTGATGGCCTATGGAGGTAAGACTGTCCGGTGCATTGGCTATGGGCTTTAAGTTGAAGTGGAGACCCGAGTTCTTCTAGAATAAGTGAATGAGATAGGGGTGAAGACTCAAGATAGCATACAAGATAGAGACTATATCCAGGGAAAAGGTTTTCATTTATATCCTAAGGCAAAGATGGGAACTACAATTTTTATCCATTGGAATTTTCCAGAATGACTGAATTGTTTAGCTCACCTGGGGAGAGATTTGTGCCTGCCAAGGTCTTACACAGATGCCACTTCCCTCCTCCTCTGCCTGCTGGCTTTGTTCCTGGAGTACTAGCTAGCTATTTGCCAGGCCCGGCCGGACATAGGGCATACAGAGAGAGAGAGAGAGAGAGAGAGAGAGAGAGAGAGAGAGAGAGACAGAGACAGAGAGAGAGACAGAGAGAGAAGAGAGAGAGAGAGACAGAGAGAGAGAGAGAGACAGAGAGAGACAGAGACAGAGACAGAGAGACACACAGAGAGAGACACACAGAGAGAGACAGAGACACAAGAGAGAGACAGAGAAAGAGGGAGAAAGAGAGACACAGAGTCAGAGAGGAAGGGAGAGAGTTGCTAAGCCTTCCTGAGGCAACAAATTAGCCCAGTCTCTAAGCTCCTCTCTCTCAGAGCCTCTGCTGTGGTTGTTCCTAAGGCCGCAGGTGTCTGAACTGCTTAGGGAAGGTCTCAGCTGACTCATTAATAACATAATAGATAATATAATAATGGTCGTTGGTTGAGAGGTTGTTACATTCAGGGCCCATCCCACCCTTAACCTGTAATCCATAGGACCAATTTGCCTTGCCTAGGTCACAGTAGAGATGGCAGGAGACAAGAATCCAGATTACAGTCTGAATCTTTAAGTCCAGGGCTCATGTCCTGCAAGTTTGCTTCTTAGAGTGTGGGTGTTGGACCAGCATTGTCACTGTCATCACCTGCGTGCATGTCAGACACACAGAACTCCCTCTCAGGTCTGCACTTAACAAGATGACAGGTGACAATATGAAAGACTGGGGCATGTCTTGCTGCCTTTCTTACACAGCGGTGTATGGCCTACCATGTGGCCATGTCACAGGCTGAACTATCTCAAGCAATGTCTCCGTCTCTCCCCCTAAATCCCTCTCTTCCTCATCCACCTGTATCACAAACAAACAGAACCAAAGGCATTGGCTTGTTGGCTTAGACTCTAAATGACAGTGGAATTCCACCAAGGCAGTACAAGGCTAAACATTCCCACAAAATATGGAATATTCAAACCAACATCATAAGGTTATGGGTTTTTTTGGTTAATATCTATTTTATTTTTATGTGACTATGTGTGCATCTATGTATAGGTTTGTGCATGTGAGAGCAGGTACCCAGAGAGGCCAGCAGGGGGCATCAGATCCCCAGAGCTGGAATGACAGGTGGTTTCACGTCATCTCTTTTGGGTATTGGGAACTGAACTTGGCTCCTCTGTAAGAGCAGCGACTGCTGAGCCATCTCTTCAGCTTCCATGTTTTTCTTTTTAAAATAAAAATGTGTTTGGCAATGATTTCCCCAGGTCGACCTTATCCCCTACGTTTCTACAACAGGGTATGGTATGCATTTGGTGTGGTGGAGTTTCTGATTATCCCCAGCCCATCTCTAACTGTCCTCGGGAGGACAGATATGACACTGCACACTTCTTACCCTTTCACCCAGTTCTTGGTGGTGACCAGGACAGAGAGCTGCTTTCTGTCCTCCCAGAATTCCCGGTAAGGGGCACAGGTGACCCCATGCTAGACAAGTGGAGACCTCCGAGGCTGAAAATAACTCACTCAAGGCCATGTCCAGAGGAGAAGGTGTGCAACCGTGAATGGCTGCCTATCAGATTCTCTTCAACCTTAGGACCCAAGGTAGAATTTGTTTTCGCCAGGAATTGCTATCCTTCTGACTTCTTCTTCTTCTTCTTCTTCTTCTTCTTCTTCTTCTTCTTCTTCTTCTTTTTTAAACTGAGTGTCACCTAGTTTCTTCTCGTGCTTTCTAAACATAATTTAAAAATTAAAACTACCAGGGGCTGGAGAAATGACTCAATGGTTAAGAGCACTGACTGCTCTTCCAGAAGTCCTGAGTTAAATTCCCAGCAACCACATGGTGGCTCATGACCATCTGTAATGGGATCCGATGCCCTCTTCTGGTGTGTCTGAAGACAGCTACAGTGTACTCATAAATAAATAAAACCTTTTAAAAAAATAGAAAAAGTTAAAAAGAAAAAAATTAAAACTACCATCTTATACATTCTATCTGCTTACTAGATTCTCCCTTCACATGAAATCCTGTCATGGACTTAGGACAGTACCCACAGTACCCACTGTTGCTCATTCTAGACTGAGTCTTCACTGAGGCTGGACAGTGGAGAAAGTCAGCGAGGAGAGTGTTTGCTGGTAGACTACTGAACTGGTCGCACCTGTTCATACCTCAGTGTCTCTCCCTGCAAGATGGGAACTATAACGTCCCAGGCTCGTAAGCATCTCACCAAGTTTTGCAGGCTCATCCAAGGAACACCAGCGTCTATTCAAAGGGAGCAAAAAAGCAAACGGCTGATCCACTAAATCCTCTGGGACCCCCTACGTAGTGCTTTGTATCTATGCATGTCGCTGCACTAAAGCCTTCTGTGTTTTCCACTCAGGAGCCCTGAGAGGGACTGTTCCACAGACGTGGCCCTTCCTCTCTATGAAAACCTGAACATCGTGGAGCAGCCAGTGAACCTGAGCAACCTTGCACAGAAGTATGCAGAAAAGGCAGTGGGATTCATCGAGCAGGCGAGGTAAGGAGTACAGGGCCCCATCCCTATCCCCGAGTCCACACTCGCCGAGGCCTCCTGAGCTGTCAGGGCCGAGGCAGAGTTTTATGATTTACCAGGTATTCATACTTGTCTTCCAATGCTAGTAACATTGGAAAATGGTCCTGGATTAGAAGTTCCTCAAGTACGTTCTTGGCCTTCCTGAGGCCTTTGACTATCCTGCTTTGGCTAGCACCATGGTCGTGGGCACTTTTTCTTTTCCTACTAAGAGTATAAGTTCCTTGGGGGATACACCTGCCCACTGCATTCTGGGTACTCAGAGTACTTGTTAGTAGGGGGTATGAGTTCCTTGTTGCTGCTATAACAAACAGCCACCAAAGTGGTGGCTAAAACCAGCAGTAACCATAGTAACGAGTTTTCCCTCAGATCTGGATGCTAGATGCCTGAAGCCAGTCTTAAAGGGCCAGAATCAAAGGGTGAGTAGGGCTCGTTCTTTCCGGACTCTCCAGAAATAACTGTTTCTTGTTTCTTTGAGGTTCCAATAGCTTCTGCTTTTCCTTGATTTATGGCCGCATCCTTCTGATCTGTACTTCTGTTGATCCCTTGCATAGTCAGATACCCTTGCCCCTCCCCCTTATAGACAGCGTCTCATAGTCCAGGCTGTGCAACTCCTGATCTCCCAAGTGTTGGAATGTGCCACCACACCCAGGCTTCTTTTAAGGACACTTATTAGTGATTAATAGTGAACCAAGAGCCAGATAGGGTGACACAATTCAGCACTCAGGAGGCAGAGTTCATGGCCAACCAAGGGTGGGGGAGGGGTGATGGGAAGAAGTTGGGGGAAGGTCAACCAGGAAGTCTGAAGAAGGTGATCTCATCTCGAGATCTTTGACACAATCATACCTGTAAACTCCCCTTTGCCATGGAAGGTAAGGCCCCCTGATTCCAGGGACTAGACTTCAGCTATGTTTGAGGGTTGTTAGCCAGTTTCCCACGCAGGACTCCAAATACACACATCTACAGGGCACACAATGCGGGATGAAGAGATAGTTGAGCGGTTGAAAGCATTGTCTTCGATTCCAGTGGGTCCAGGTTTAGTTCCTAGCACCCAGGTCACAATCATCTGTAGCTCTAGTTCCAGATCTGATTTTTCTGCTCTCCAAGGGCACACATGTGGCACATAAACATACACAGGCAGAATACCCACGCACATAACATAAAATCCAAAGAAAACACTTTAAAAAGTGGAAAGCAGGCCCCATCTGTAGTGAGCAGTCACTACTTAGCTACAGTGTTTGATAATGGGTGAGCCTGGAATTCGAGCCTCAGGTATCAGATCTTTCCAGTTTGGGGGAGAGACAGGAAACAGTCTTTAAATGTTAGAAAGAGTTCATCTTTCTCCCAAGGTCTCAAACTCCTCAAGGACAGAGGAACACTTCTCTTAGGTCCACAGCCACAGCTTAAGTAAGAGAACAAATGTGCTGTGTGTCTGCCTGCCCATGCAGAGTTAAAATGGTGTCATCTCTGGAAAGCTGAGCAGACCAACTCCTGACTGTGCAGGAGGATCCTTCAGCCTTGCTCAGCCATGGTGGACTTTTCTAGAGACACCATCAAGGAGGGCAGATATGGCAGGTGGGCTAGACAACTCAGTTGTCTGTGTGTGCCCTGTAGAATACATCTCATTGCTTCAAATCTCAGAGCAACATCCCAGGATGTTAGAGTTGCATCTGAACAATTCCCCCAGACATCTGAGAAACACTGCCGATGGTTCTTCCTCAGATTGCTGATAAAGACAGAGCAAAGCTTTCCTGATCTGGAAGGTTGAGCATCTCCCAGCTCCCTACAGCTTTGAAATGGTTCTAGTTTCCTTTGCCCTGTGACAAGCAGATGCTTCATAGTTGGCGAGGGCAGTTTCCTGTTGTTTTACAGAGTCTCAGCCTTCGAAGCAGGAGGGATGACAGCTGGCTAGGGCTGAGGGCTGTATAATGCTTGCTTTGCAGGGGTGTTGGAGCCTGGGCATCCATCAGTTAAGGAATGCATTGAAAGACAAATCAACTGATATTCTCTTCATATCAAAGAAAAAAACAGCGGAGATTGGCCATTTCCCTAAAGTATTGAGTCATTGGCTTTTAAACTTTACAGAAGGCAATCATAGGGCATACAGGTTTCTTTAAGATTTGACCCGCCAATTCATCCATGGCCTTCCTCACTGTGTAGTACAAAAGTCTCTCAGACCTGCCCACATCTGTGCTGGCTAGTTTTATGTCAGCTTGACACCACCTAAAGTCATCCCAGAGGAGGAAACCTCAATAAAGAAAACTCCTCCGTAAGATTTGGCTGAAGACATCCTTAAGAGTATTTTCTGATTAGTGATTGATGGGAGAGGGCCAGGCCCGTTGTGGGTGGTGCCATGCCTGAGCTGGTGGTCCTGGGTTCTATAACAAAGCTGCCTGAGCAAGCCAGTAAGCAGTACTTCTTCATGGTCTCTGCAGGAGCTCCTGCCTCCAGGTTCCTGTCCTGCTTGAAGTCCTGTCCTGACTTCCTTCAGTTATGGACAGTGCTGTGGAAGTATAAGCCAAACAAACCCTTTCTTCCCCAACTTACAGATAGATAGGATTTGATATATTCTAACACCAGTCACATGCAAGGGGGTTTGTCTGCAGTGACATAGGTACTTCACAAAGCAGAATGTCCAGGATGGAGTTGTGGGTAAGGAGGGTGTAGCAGGATGGCTCCATCAATAGATGTTGACAACAACAGTAATTGTAACTGTGACAATTATCTGCCTTCCACTTGGAACTACCAGAACATGTGACTTTTTAAGGCATCTGGCAAAGGTCTTAACAGGAGGGGAACAGGCAGAAAGTGGCATGTGTAGCAGGATACTTATTCTGCTACATTGTATCCGCAGTGGAGCTCAGTGATTAGGCAGTAGAAGGGGAAGTGGAGCTGGGAGAGAAAGAGAGGAAGGAGGAGAAGGAGGCTATCAGCCATGGAGAATCACGGATGGGCTGAAAGCTGTTCTTGGTAGCAACTTCTATCAAAAGGTTTGAGTTTGGGTAACACTCTAATTGTGTGGGCATCTTGTTGATTGAGCAGTTCTAAATATATAGATCCTTTAGAGAATCATTAAGCTTTAAGAGTCTCGTTTCTACTGGGTACTGCAAGGATGGCAGGTATTGTCTAGGGTTCAGCAGAGCTTTGTGGGTGCAGTGTGGGGGATTGGCAGAGCCATTGCCCCCACACTGGCACCTTGCGTGTACCAGGGCCTGCGCATCTAGCTAGCTGGAGCCCCGGTCAGAGCTGAGGAGCAGCGGGAACATGGTGGCTGCCCGGGAACAAGGCAGACTGGGTGCTGTTTTCTAAATATCACCCCAACAGGCATGGGCTCTGAAAACATGTTGCCAACCATCCCTGTGTTGCTTCCTGGGAATAGAGCATAGAGAGGCCGGCAAGTAAGGGTGGGTCAGTTAGGCAGAAGAATAGATGTTGACTCAGTGTGTTCAAAACCAGAGTCAATACTCAGGATGTTGTGACTGTATATCTATGTCCCTTACACTTCACAAGTTGATACCGTAGCCCTAAGTCATACAAGACGTATTCAACTTTATGATACAAGTTGTCATTTACAAAGTGCACAATCAAGTTTTGAAGGACAGTGGGAGGGGATATGGTAGCACAAGCCTGTGACCTCAGCATTCCATTCATGGGGCCAATGCAGGAGGAGCTTGAATTCAAGGTAGCTGGGACATCATAGCAGACACACAGACACGCACATGTACACACACACACACACACACATGCACACACATGCATACACACACACACACACACACACACACACACACATATCTTATGTTTTAAGTAAGTTTATGGTCGGTAACATTTGTCAATACATTTGTCAATACCGTTCGTGCATGTGGCCTAATAGGGCAGGGGTTGGGCACACCTTTTCCTAGTGGGATAGTATTAGGACTTGGGAACCTTTGGAAGGTGTTTAGGTCTAGGTGGGGTCAGGAGGATGGAGCCCCCATGATTGGACTAATGTTCTTATCTGGTGAGAATAAGACCAGTTTCTCTCTCTGTTGAGGGTAAAAGGTGGGAGGTAGAGTCTAAGGATGGAGACACTGAAGTTCCCAGGTGCTAAGACTGGGAAGATAAAGATTTGCTTGGGTTCACCCAAGCTGTGGTATTTTTGTCGAAGCAGCCTGAGTTAAGACATGGGCATCATTCAGAACGGGGTCCTGATGGCATGTAGATGAAAACTGGACCTTCAAGAGCTGGAACCTAGGTTTATTTTTTATTATTTGTTCTCTTTCCCTTGATTTGCAATGTGCAAATTAGCCACTACCTTCATCAGGAGAAAATGGGTCTTCAAAGGGAACCTAGAACCCTGGTCTGCTGGTGCTGGGTGGTATCTGGGGTGGGAAGGTAGAGAGGGAACCTCATCACGGTAAGGGTGAGTAGGGTGAGGAGTAACCCACTGAGCCATCTCTCCAGCCCCACCTCAAGACATTTTTACAACAGCCCCATATACACATATACACAATAGGTACACAAGCCAAACATGTACCCATAATAAATCATAAAGAGATCATTTTCAAACAACTCTGTGGCATGCATGAAGAAGAAGTAAATCCTCTGTGACATATGCAGTACAGAGTGACAGAAGCAAGTTTAGTTAGCATTTTAGAACTGATTGGGAAGTCTGTCCCGATGTTGACCCAAATTCATCAAGTGATTTAAAAAAATCAAAAGGAACTCAAGTCAGCAATTCAAAAAGCTTTCACACAAACTTATTTTTATTGTGTATATTTGCCTGCATGTATTTTGCCATGCACGGACAGTGCCTGTGGAGACCAGAAGAGGCTGTCAGGGTCCAGTGGGATGTGGTGGTGGTAGTGGTATTGGAGGTTAAACTTCAGGCCTTATTGTACATCAGGCAAGAATATTACCCCTAAATCACATTCCCAGTACATTTTTTTTCCTTTTCCTTTTGAGACAGGGCCTCACTAAGTTTTGTAGGCCGGTCTTGATCTCACTATGTAGCTCGGTCAGGGTTTGAACTTGTGACCTTTCTACCCCAGTTTCCCACGTAGCTGAGATTACAGGCCTGCCCCTGTGAAACCAGGGAGACTTTGCATGGCCACGCCAGCTCCCTCAAGCTTTTCATTCTGAACTTGCCAGAGGAATCAAGTTTAGTGTAGAACAGAACCTTGATCTAAATGTCTGTCCCCTGTGGTCACATGTTCCATGTAGCTTTTGCTATCCTGCCTAAACTCCGGGAATATGGTGTGCTACTAGCCCCTGCCCAGAGAATATTGGACCCTTCACTGAAAAACACAGACACACACAGTTGTTCAATGTCAGTGTACCTTATTGGTTCAACTGCTGGGTGCTTCCAATCTACCTCACCTAGTGTGTCCTTCCCAGAACTCCCAGCTCAGCACCCTAAATCTGCACTCAACTTCAGTTGCTCAGTCACCTTCAGTATCAGCTCAACATCCCCAACCTCCCGCCTGTAGAAGTGGCCTGTGGTCACTTCACCCAAGAGCCTGCATGGCCGGTTGGCTTTTTTCTCTCTGAAGCATGGCTGACTCTCTTCTCTCTCTCTCTCTCTCTCTCTCTCTCTCTCTCTCTCTCTCTCTCTCTCTCTCTCTCTCTCTCTGTCCTGCATCTCCTGCTTGCCCGTAGGGGACCTGGAAGTTCTGACTATTCCTTCTGCCCTGCAATTAGCCTGTGGCATCTTTACAGCTAGATCAAGAACCAACTGGGAAACAGGACCTTAGCATCAGAACCATCCCTACACCCACATCGATCCTAGGATTGTTTGTGGCTATATCTCCAGGAATTAACATGGTGGTCTGGATGCTTGGACTCTGAAGTGAAGCACAGAGCACAGGCTTTGCTCTAGGCAGGCTTAGAGTTTAAATCCAGGCTGTTTGTTTCTAGTAGAATAACCTGAAGGAAGTCCTTAAATCCCTCGAAGTTTCTGATTCAATGCCTGAAAGGAGAAACTGGGTTTATCCTAAGGATAGATTTAGACACTAGTCCTATGTCATACCTCTTACTATTACAAAATACTAGCCATCATTATGGTGCACTACTTTTCTAACCAGGTAGCCACACCATTTCTGCATTTTCTTAGAATTAGATAAATGAATTATTCATGACCCTGAGGGCCAGTCCTGTGGAGGGGTGGTAGTGGGGTTTCTCTAAGGTTGGGAAGGACTGCCAAGGCCCTGGACAAAACCAGCCTCCTGCAGAGAGGCTCTGAGTTTTCCCATTTATTCCAGCACCAGTGGAAGACCCTTCCTGCTCTACATGGGCCTAGCCCACATGCATGTGCCTTTGTCTGCGACTCCACCATTGGCACACCCACAGAACCAAAAGCTGTACCATGCAAATCTCTGGGAGATGGACAGTCTGGTAGGGCAGATCAAGGACAAAGTTGACCACGTGGCAAAAGAAAACACACTCCTCTGGTTTACAGGTAAGGTAGAAATAGCCAGTTGATCTGGTTGGGATCTAAAATATAGCCATACAAGGGTCTTTGGAGAGCAGTGTCCAGTCATGTGACATCTTTACCAGGGAAGGGGCTCACTGTGAACTTGAGGCCCTGATGATATTCATTTGCTGAGTGCTGAGCATGTTCATATTGTCTGTTGGGTTCTACAAGCCTGCGTCACAAGAAAGACTTGTGCTTACTAAGCACATACTTTGCTGGCCCCACAGGTGTTGGCTAGGACCCCAGCAACTATTCACTCTTCTTGTTAAAGAGTGGCTTTGCCATTGTGAACTTGTGTAGTCCTTTACTATCTCCTCCCTGGTCCCATTGATTGTGGTTGCTACTGGTCATATCTTTAGTCAGGTGGCCCCAGAAGACCTGAATTAATTGTCCATTTAAAGGGCTCACATGTAGCCAGGTATGGTAGGTGCATAATACTTTTTAGAATTCTAGCACTTCAGAGTCTAAGGCATAATGTCCAGTTCAAGGCCAGGGTGGGCATTATAGTAAATTCAAGGCTACTCTGTGCTATATATAGCAAGACTCTGTCTCAGAAAAATCCAAAAGGGTGTGTGTGTGTGTGTGTGTGTGTGTGTGTGTGTGTGTTGGTGGGGGTCATTCCATAGATATTTTGTGCCTTGGGTTTCTATGTAGCAGAGTGGCAGCTACTTTGGATTAAGTTGAAACCTGGTTTTGAATATATGCTACTGGGAGAGTTGAATCTACTCCACCAATACTGTGAGGTTGAAAGATGTTGGATGTGGATCTCGGTGTATCAAGGATGCTCAGTGATAGCTGCTGGGCTGAGGCTAATCACAGCAATGGCTTGCTAAACCTAGGTAAGTGGGACGTGAGAGCAGAGGTTAAGGATGGAGCTCACCGGGTCAAGGCAAGCTCCCCCTCTCTCTTAGAGCCTAGTAGAGATGGGCTCACTGAGTTTTAACTGAGTAGGGTTATGTAAACCCAGCACTTGGGAAGCAAAGGAAGGGGAGTCCATGGCTCTGCCATGCACTGACATTCATGTCTTCAAGGAATTCTTTACATGTAGAGAGTCATGGTTGTCTTTCTGTCTGAGGCCTGCTGTGCACAGGGTTATGACCAGAGAAGGAGTCAGAAGAGTTTTCTCTCAGAAACCCACTAACCATCTCCTGTCTCTTTTTCTGGTTTCCAGGAGACAACGGCCCATGGGCTCAGAAGTGTGAGCTGGCAGGCAGTGTGGGTCCCTTCACTGGATTGTGGCAAACCCATCAAGGTATCAGAGAACCTCATTCAGTGTGATTAGATCCCACTTGGGAAGCTGAGTGCTGGCTGTGTATGGGGTTTTGTCTAGGGGACAGCTGTCTTGCTTGGATCCTGACTTTCAGGACACTGTTATGAAGCAGGAACATAGTGGCTCATCAGCCACCAACTCTCAGAGAAGAAACAAGTTGGCACAGAGAGATTATGGTCCATCTCTTTCTGTCTTTTCTCTCTCTACTCTTTCCTCAAAGGACCAGGCTTTGTCTTGACAAACCAGTCCATAAACCTTCTAGTCCATATGCTTTGTCTTAATTCATTTGTGTGGCTGTGTCTTCTTTCTCTGTCCCTGCACTTCCTCCCCCAACCCCCTCTGTTCAACCATTAGTTCATATTATCCGTTCAAAAATATTTAGTGCACATTTCCATAATGTTGGGGTTTGGTGCTACTGTTATTTTGTTTGACAGGGTCTCAATATGTGGCCTTGGCTGGCCTAGGACTTACTATGTAGATCAGGCCACCTTCGAATTCACAGAGATCCTCCTTCCCCAGCTCTGGAGTGCTGGGGTTAGTGGTGTTTGCCAGCTTTCCTGAGCCTTTGCAAGGCTATTATATATACTACCTTATAACAATGGAAGGTAACAGCAATGACTTCACCTACAGATGGAAAGAGGATCCCAAAGAAATGGAGTCACTTGTCCAAGGTCATACAGTTGATGAGAAGATGCCAGGTTGGCCTCTGTATTCAAAGTTGGTGCTGTCTCCACACACCCAACAGCCTCCTATGGCCATTACTGGCTCCGTGTAAACATACTTGAGCCTGAAACTCAGTTCCCATCTGCTCTGGAAATGTTTCCAACAAGGAAGGAGCTTACCTTCCGAGGGAGCGGCCACACTGGGGACAGTCTGGTGTGTGGATCAAAGCTTTGAAAAGTTCCATACGCCTCGTGATGCACGGCTTCCTCCTGGAAGCATCTGTTTTAGGGAACTCAGTAGCCAAGGGCACAGAGCGTGTCCACGATGCTCATTGCAGTGGGTCAGAGAATTAGCTGGACACAGTTCAAGTACTCAGCGAGGGGAGTGTTTAAAGGAGTTATATCCATTTAGAGGAACCTCCAAAGAAACAGGAAGCAGATGCACATTGATTGATTTGGAAGTATTTACATTAAATATTTTTTGAGCGATTGAGAGAAACTATAAAATAATATGCAAAGCATATGCCTGTAACCACTTTGTGCAAAGTATAGCTTTATTACATAAAAGTAAGCTTATGTCTTCTCAGAAAAATCTTGAACGAGGTCTCACAACTACAGGAAATTAGCAGTGATTCCTCTGAGTTTAAGAGGGAGTTTACGTGTGATTCATAATCTTTCCCTCCTGTGATGAACTGTTACTGTTTCATAAAAAAAAAAAAGAAAAGAAAAACAGGGGAATTGGAGGTGTTAGCTCAGGGTTAGAGTGCTTGCTCAGCAATGCGAGTTTGGTATACAGCGCTGAAAAATCACCATTCAAGCTGTGTTGGTATGGAGTGAAATGGGGCTGTAGCCCAGTCTCCAGAGTGCTTGTCTAGTGTGTAGCTCCATCAGTAGGGTACTTGCCTAGCATGAGCTCAGTTAGTAGGGTGCTTGCCCAGCGTGTAGCTCAGTCTTTTGTTCAATTTCCAGCATCACAGAAACCAAGTGTGGTGGTGTATGCCTGTAATCTCAGTAACCAGAAGGTGGAGGCAGAAGGATCAGAAGTTTATGGTCACCCTTAACCCTATATAGTAAGTTTGAGGCCAGCTGGAATACATGTGACATTGTCTCAAAACAACAATAAAAACGAAACAAGCCCAGTTCTGCCCTTTCTGCCCTTCTTTCCTTGACTGAGCATTTGCTTAGCACCTGCTAGTTCCTGTTCCACCTACTTATTGAGCATCTGTTATGTGTCAGGAGCAGTACTTCTCCCCCAGAGATACAAAGACTAACAAAGCCTCTGACCTGAAGGAATCCAGACCTGTAATAGCACTCCTCAGGGTGGGTTCAGTAGACACGACAAAATCCTGTGGAGATCTTGCTTAAAATAAAGTTTCAACCTAAGAGGTTAACAATTGATGATGGCAGTTTTGCATTTCTGTGGCACTTCTGGACAATGCTGATTTCACTGGCCACTTTGAGAACCATCACCTTAGAACACTGTTGTCTATGGTACCTGAACCTATAATTTATATCTCTGGACCCATGGATCCCTGAGTTGGGCATTGTGGTACAGTGCTTATAATTTTAGCACTCAGGACACTGAGGCAGGAGGATTGCCACTAGATGGACGTCAGCCTGGGCTCCATAGTGAGTTCAAAGCCAGCCTGAGATATATAAGGAAACTGTCTCAAAAAGCCAAACAAAAAAACATTGTTCCCTGGGTTGCTACCTATGTGAATTCTTCACAGGAAAATGGATCCCAGTAGTGTCTGTGTGTGCTGATGTGTGTGTGTGTGTGTGTGTGTGTGCATGCATGCGTCTGGGTATGTGCCTATGACACGTGTGTATGCTTATGTGTATTCTTGTGTGTGTGATCATGTGTGTGTGTGTCTGGGTATGTGCCTATGACATGTGTGTATGTTTATGTGTATGCTTGTGTGTGTATGTGATCATGTGTGTGTGTATCTGGGTATGTACCTATGACACGTGTGTATGCTTGTGTGTGTATGTGTGTGTGATCATGTGTGTGTATGTCTGGGTATGTGCCTATGACACGTGTGTATGCTTGTGTGTGTGATCATGTGTGTGTGTGTCTGGGTATGTGCCTACAATACATGTTTGTACATAATATACATAAGCTTGTGTGTAAGCTTATGTATGTGTGTGTGATCATGTGTGTGTGTCCGATGTGCCTATGACACGTGTGTATGCTCGTGTCTGTGTGTGTCTGCTATGAAGCCCTAGCCACCTTGAATTCGAGCTTCTCCTGCATTCACCCCATGAACTCTGAGGTTATAGGCATGTGCTACCATATCCAATAAGCTAAGAGGCAGAATTGGGATCTTCAACATTCAAAGGTCGGGAGAGAACTTGAAATCTATATCCCTACTCACTTTCTGGTAGGAAGTAGAGGCTGAGGAGGTCTGCTGCAGGCCAGCTTGTGATGGAAGAGGGTCAAGTGATCTGGGTTTGTTCCACAGCCCATGTGACTGTGGTTGCTCCCACCTTTCAAAACCTGATCATTGCTTAGCTGTCTGGAAAATCTCGTGCTGTTTCTTTGAACTACTTGGTTGTCAAGGAAAACATCATTAGCCTCCCCCTCTCCAATCATTCTAAACCAGTAGGGGGAGGGGTGGAGAGATAAAGAGGCCTGTTGGCTTGGGAGCTTCCCTTGGGCTTGAATCTTAACTATGTGACAGGGATGGGAAAACTTTGTTCTTCCATGTTGGGAGGTGATAGACCCTCTTCATTCCGTGAGTGGAATCAGATGGAAGCTTTGCACAGGCACCCAGTGTGGTGTGTGTGACTCCTACCAGGGACTCCTTGAGACTCAGTTTCTTTATTTATAGCAGAAACAACCTGGGCATCCCTCTCTGAATGGAGGCTGGAACAAGTCCTCGGAAAGAATTTCCTACAGAACTACGTATGAGACAAAAGATGCATGGATGACCTCAGATTGTCCCGTGACCTTGTCTCAGGAAACTGCTCAGAGCTGGCCTCAGCTACCTTCTTGTTACACTGTTTTGGGGAAGGCTTTCTGATAGATTTTATGACTTGTGGTATCTGCTTGCGAGCACAACACTTGGATTGGTGAGGGCATCAGAGCTGGGTGCCATTCTCTTGGCTTTAGAGTCTCAAAGTGAAACTCACCTGAAAAATATGTCAGAGTACCTCTCCCCACACGAAACTCCACTGCTGCCTATGATTCCACAGACTGCACCGCTGCAGGAGATTAACACTGGAAAGCCTGACGGAAGGCTTCCTGCAGCTGGAACAGAGCTGTGAGTGATGAGCTGGGTCCCTCTGGACCACCTGCACCTCCTGACCTAGGTTTCTGTCCTAGGAAGCCATCCCCCTCCACTCCCGCTGTGAGGCCAGTCTCAATAGCCCACGAAGGGAAGACAATGTTTTCACTACAGAGTGGGACAAACAGTCCTGAGAGCCTTGCTTCTCTCTCCCCAAGCCAGCTTGCTGCGTCAGACCACGTGCTACCTTCCCCTGTTCCCAGGGCCCCCCTCCTCATCTTCCCTTTCTTTCTTGGCTAGTCCATCCAGCTCAGCTGATCCGATGAGGCAGCGTCTCCTGGAGTCATCTTTTCACCCTGTGCTAGAGTGAGGATGCTCTACTTGGCAGGGTTCCTGCCATCTTCGGATGAGGAGAAATTGAACAGGGTGTGCGTGTGCGAGTGTGTGTGTGTGTGTGTGTGTGTGTGTGTGTGTGTGTTAGAGAGAGAGAGAGATAGACACAGAGAGAATGTGCATGAGAGAGAATGTGTATGAGAGAGAGAGAGAGAGAGAGAGAGAGAGAGAGAGAGAGAGAGAGAG